GAGAACTTCATGAAGTATATACAAGTTTCAATAGCCAAATCAAACAAGTGGAAGAAAGGATATCAGAGATTGAAGATCAACTAAATGAAATAAAATGAGCAGGCAAGATTAGAGAAAAAGGAGTAAAAAGAAATGAACAAAGCCTCCAAGAAATACAGGATTGTGTGAAAAGACTAAATCTGTGTTTGATTGGTGTACCTGAATGCGATGGAGAGAATGATCCAAGCTGGAAAACACTCTTCAGGATATTATCCAGGAGAACTTCCTCAACCTCAAAAGACAGGCCAACATTCAAATTCAGGAAATACAGAGAACACCATAAAGATATTCCTTGAGAAGAGCAACCCCAAGGCATGTAATCACCAGATTCTCCAGGGTTGAAATGATGGAAAAAATGCTAAAGACAGCCAGAGAGAAAGGTTGGATTACCCACAAAGGGAAGCCCATCAGACTCACTCTTGGCAGAAACCCTACAGGCCAGAAGAGAGTGGTGGCCAATATTCAACATCCTTAAAGAAAAGAATTTAAAAACTAAAATTTCATATCCAGCCAAACTAAGCTTCATAAGTGAAGGAGAAATAAAATCCTTTACGGAAAAGCAATTGCTGAGAGATTTCGTCACCACCAGACCTGCCTTACGAGAGCTCCTGAAAGAAGCACTAAACAAGGAAAGGGACAACCAGTACCAGCCACTCCAAAAGCATATCAAATTGTAAAAACCATTGACACCGTGAAGAAACTGCATCAACCAATGGGCAAAACAACTAGCTAACATCAAAATGACACAATCAATTTCACACATAACAATATTCATCTTAAATGTAATGGGCTAAATGTCCCAATCAAAAGAAACAGACTGGCAAATTTGATAAAGAGTCAAAACCCATCAGTGTGCTGTATTCAAGAGATCCATCTCATGTGCAAAGACTCATATAAGCTTAAAATAAAGACATGGAGGAAGATTTACCAAGCAAATGGAGAGCAAAAAAAATCAGGAGCTGCAATCCTAGTCTCTGACAAAACAGACTTTAACGAAGATCAAAAGAAACAAAGAAGGGCATAACATAATGGTAAAGGGATCAATGTAACAAGAAGAGCTAACTAACAAAAATATACATGAACCCAATACAGGAGCACCCAAATGCATAAAGCAAGTTTTTGATGACCTAAAAAGAGACTTAGACTTCCACGCAAAATAGTGGGAGACCTTAACACTCCACTATCAATATTAGACATATCAACAAGACAGAAAATTAACAAGGATATCCAGGACTTGAACTCAGATCTAGACAAAGCAGACCTAATAGACATCTGCAGAACTCTCCAACCCAAATCCACAGAATATATATTCTTCTCAGTGCCACATAACACTTACTCTATAATTGACCACATAATTGGAAGTAAATCACTCCTCAGCAAATGCAAAAGAATGGAAATCATAACAAACACTCTCTCAGACAATCAAATTAGAACTCAGGATTAAGAAACTAACTCAGAACCACACAACTACATGGAAACAACAACCTGCTTCTGAATGACTACTGGATAAATAATGAAATGGAGGCAGAAATAAAGATATTCTTTGAAACAAATGAGAATGAAGACACAACATACCAGAATCTTTGGCAGACATTTAAAGTAGTGTCTAGAGGGAAATTTACAGCACTAAATGCCCACATGAGAAGCAAGGAAAGATCTAAAATTAACACCCAAACATCACAATGAAAAGAACTAGAGAAGTAAGATTAAACAAACTCAAAAGTTAGCAGAAGACAAGAAATAACTAAGATCAAAGCAGAACTAAAGGAGATAGAGACACAAAAACCCCTTCAAAAAATCAATAAACCTAGGAGCTGGTTTTTTGAAAAGATTAACAAAATAGATAGACTGCTAGCCAGACTAACAAAAAAGAGGAGAAAGAAGAATCAAATATATTCAATAAAAAATGATAAAGGGGATATCACCGCTGATTCCACAGAAATACAAACTATCATCAGAGATTACTACAAACACTTCTATGCACAAAAATCAGAAAATCAAGAAGAAATAGATGAATTCCTGGACACTTACACCTTCCCAAGGCTAAACCAGGAAGAAGCTGAATCCTTGAACAGACCAATTACAAGGTCTAAAGTTAAGGAAGTAGTTAATAGCCTACCAACCAAAAAAAAAGTCCAGGGTCAGATGGGTTCACAGCCAAATTCTACCAGAGGTACAAAGAGGAGCTGGTACCATGCCTTCTGAAATTATTCCAAATAATACAAAAAGAGAGAATCCTCCCTAACTCATTTTATGAAACCAACATTATCCTAATACCAAAACCTGGCAGAGACACAACTAAAAAATAAAATTTCAGACCAACATCCATGATGAGCATAGATGCAAAAATCTTCAATAAAATACTGGCAAACTAAATTCAAAAGCACGTCAAAAATCTTATCCATCATGATCAAGTAGGCTTCATTCCTGGGATGCAAGACTGGCTCAACATACACAAATCTATAAACGTAATCCGTCACATAGACAGATCCAAAGACAAAAATCACATGATTATCTCAATAGATGCAGAGAAAGCCTTTGACAAAATCCTTTTTGCTAAAAACTCTCAATAAACTAGGTATCGATGGAATGTATCTCAAAGTAATAAAAGCTATTTATGACAAATCCACAGTCAATATCATACTGAATGGGCAAAAACTGGAAGCATTCCCTTAGAAAACTGGCACAAGAAAAGGATGCCCTCTCTCACCACTCCTATTCAACATAGTATTTGAAGTACTCGCCAGGGCATTCAGGCAGCAAAAAGAAATAAAGGGTATTCAATTAGGAGAAGAAGAAGTCAAATTGTCTCTATTTGCAGACGACATGATTGTATATTTAGAAGAACTCATCATCGAAGCCCAAAATCTCCTTAAGTTGGTAAGCAACTTCAGCAAAGTCTCAGGATACAAAATCAATGTGCAAAAATCACAAGAATTCCTATACACCAATAACGGACAAAGAGCCAAATCATGAGTGAACTCCCATTCACAATTGCTACAAAGAGAATAAAATACCTAGGAATACAACTAACAAGGGATGTGAAGGACCTCCTCAAGGAGAACTACAAACCACTGCTCAACGAAATAAAAAGGACACAAACAGATGGGAAAACATTTCATGCTAATGGTTAGGGAAAATCAACATCATGAAAATGGCCATACTGACCAAAGTAATTTATAGATTCAGTTCTGTCTCCATCAAGCTACTATTGACTTTCTTCACAGAACTGGAGAAAAAAAAAAAAACACCTTAAACTTCATATGAAACCAAAAGAGAGCCCACATAGCCCAGACAATCCTAAGCAAAAGGAACAAAGCTGGAGGCATTATGCTACCTGACTTCAAATTATATTACAAAGCTACAGAAATCAAAACAGCATAGTACTGTTATTAAATCAGAAATATAGACCAATGGAACAGAACAGAGGCCTCAGAAGTAATGCCACACATCTACGGCCATCTGACCTTTGATAAACCTGAGAAAAACAAGCAATGGCGAAAAGATTCCCTATTTAATAAATGGTGTTAGGAAAACTAGCTAGCCATATTCAGAAAACTGAAACTGGATCCCTTCCTTACACCTTATACAAAAATTAACTCCAGATGGATTAAAGATTTAAACATAAGACCTACCACCATAAAAACCCTGGAAGAAAACATAGGCAATGCCATTCAGGACATAATCATGGGCAAGGACTTCATGACTAAAACATTAAAAGCAATGGCACCAAAATCCAAATCAGACAAATGAAATCTAATTAAACTTAAGAGCTTCTGCACGTAAAAGAAGCTATCATTAGAGTGAACCAGCAACCAACAGAATGGGAAAAAATTTTTGCAATCTACCCATCTGACAAATAACCAGAATCTACAAAGAACATACAAATTTATAAGAAAAAAAAAACCCAAACAAAAAGTGGGCAGAGAATATGAACACACACTTCTCAAAAGAAGACATTTATGCAGCCAATGAACATATGAAAAAATGCTGATCATGACTGGTAATTAGAGAAATGCAAATCAGAACCACATTGAGATTCCACCTCATGACAGTTAGAATGGCAATCATTAAAAAATCAGGAGAAAACAGATGCTGGAGAGGATGTGGAGAAATAGGAACACTTCTACACTGTTGGTGGGAGTGTAAATTAGTTCAATCATTGTGGAAGACAGTGTGGTGATTCCTCAAGGATCTAGAACTAGAAATGCCATTTGACCCCGCAATCCTATTACTGGGTATACACCCAAAGGATTATAAAACATGCAATTGTAAAGTCACATGCACACATATGTTTATTGTGGCACTGTTTACAATAGCACAGCCTTGGAACCAACCCAAATGCTCATCAATGATAGACTGGATAAAGAAAATGTGGCATACAAATACCATGGAATGCTATGCAGCCATAAAAAAGGATGAGTTCATATCCTTTGCAGGGACATGGATGAAGCTGGAAACCATCATTCTCAGCAAACTGACACTAGAACAGAAAACCAAACACCACATGTTTTCACTCACAAGTGGGTGTTGAACAATGAGAACACATGGACACAGGGAGGGGAGCATTACACAGCAGGGCCTGTTGGGGGTTGGGGGACTAGGGAAGGGGTAGCAGGGGGAGGGATAACATTAGGAGAAATGCCTAATGTAGATGATGGGATGGATGCAGCAAACCACCATGGCATGTGTATACTTATGTAACAAACCTGCACATTCTGCACATGTACCCCAGAACTTAAAGTACATAAAAGCAAAAGCACTGAGGTGAGCAAAGGCTTGCACAGTTTTGAGTACAGATGAAAAAAAATATGACTAATGCACAGTGAGGGAAGAGGCAAGGGTCTCAAATGTGTTTGGAGGTGGAAACAAAAGCAAGATAAGAGAATCCTAGGACAAGGCAAAGAGTTTCCAAGACAAGGGAAGCTAGGCAATGGAGAGTATCTTAATCTCTAAATTGCACAGAATCTGAATCATAAACCTGATTTTACAATTTTAAAAGCTTCCTCTCTGCTAGCGCGGTGGCTCATGCCTGTAATCCCAGCAGTTTGGGAGGCAGAGGCAGGGGAATCACTTGAGCTCAGAAATTTGAGACCAGCCTGGGCAACAGGGTGGAACTCCATCCAACTGAAAATACAAAATTAGCCAGGTGTCATGGCATGTGCCTGTAGTCCCAGCTACTGGGGAGGCTGAGGCAGGAGAATTACCCAGGAGGTGGAGACTGCAGAGCAGAGATCGTGGTGGGAGTGTAAATTAGTTCATTGCACGCCAGCCTGGGTGACGCAGAGAGCCTCCATCTCAAAAAAGAGCTTCCTTTGACAGCCAGTGAAGAATGGACAGTTTCAGCTCCTACACATTCCTGAAAGAATGACTTCTCCTTTTGGGAAACACATGACGTTCTCAGCCTTGCAGTCATTTCCCAGCCAAAGCCTCCCATTTCATCCAGAGTTTCTTCATGGCATTTTTCACCTCTGCATTCCTCAGCGTGTAGATCAAGGGATTTAACATGGGTGTGATGATCGACTCTGACACAGTCATTGCCTTGTCTATGGGGTAAGTGACCACAGGCCTCATGTACAAGAAAATACAGGGGACAAAGAACAACACAACCACTGTGAGGTGGGAGCTGCAAGTAGAGAGGGCTTTATGCCGCCCCTCAGAGCTGTAAGCCTTCAGGGAGCATAGGATGACCGTGTAGGATGCGATTAAGATAAGGAAGATGGCCACACACATCATCCCACTGTTGAGGGTGACTAAGAGCCCCAGGTTGTGGGTGTCCATGCAGGCAAGGGTCAACAACTGAAACAAATCACATATAAAGTGATCTAGGATATTAGGACCACAAAAGGGTATTTGATACATGAAGAGAAGTTGTATCACTGCGTGCGTAAATCCCCCCACCCAAGCCCCTCCTACCATCAGACAGCACACCCGTGGACTCATGATGGTCGTGTAGTGCAGGGGTCTACAGATGGCCACGTAGCGGTCATAGGCCATCACAGTGAGGAGGATGATCCCCATACCACCAAAGAAATGCTCCACAAAGAGCTGGGTCAGGCAGCCTTTGAGAGAGATGGCAGTGCTCTTGGAGAGGGAGTCTACAATCACCTTGGGGGCAATGACAGATGAGAACATGACATCCGAAAGGGACAAGAAGGTAAGAAAAAAATACATAGGTGACCTCAGACTCTGACTTGTGATCACAGTTACCACAATGAGTAGATTCCCCAACACTGTGGCTGCATACATGATGAGAAACACAGCAGAAAATATTCTCCGCAGCTCCAGGTTCTTTGTGACACCCAGAAGAATGAATTCGGTCACGTTGTTTCGATTTTCCATTTATCAGGTGTTGATATGAATCCAGTTGAGAGTTGAAAATCCTAAATAAACAAGATATGATTTATAATTAGTGGATAATTTGGCTTCCTGTATTTCCAGGACCTCGGGGAATTTGTTGTTGGTTTTTATTCATCTATTCTCCATCTAGACATTTGACTTCTAAGAATGTGCTAAATAATGTAAAAGTTAAGTGCTTTATTTATGCAAGTTTTCCCTAAGCCTTTTCTCCTCCGTTTCTAGATTGTGTTTTCATGTGAAATAGATTTTTTCCTCCTTCTCCTACCTTTATAATAATAATAATCAGTAGATAACTTTTTTAGCACCTATCTCACTTTGGGGGCAATTCCTTATTCCAGGCACTAGAATAATTCTATGGTTAACTTTGTTTTACAGAAATAGGAACCTACTCTCATAGAGTTTAAAGAAATTAGGCAAGGTCACATAGCTATTCAGTAGTGAAGCTAGAATTTGAACCACATTTTCTGATGTCAGAATCAGTACCCTCAAATATCATTACAGCTTCTCTAGTAATTATACTGTGAGATTATCATTCACCAATCTCTATGCTAAATATATTTCAGTTATTATCCTGCTTTATCTTAAAAATAATGTGATGAAGTAGGTAATTCTTGTGCTTTTTTTCCAAAAAAAAAAATTTTATTCTTTTGTAATTTTGTGCTTTCCTTCTAAATTTTAAATGATCATCATATACCTAAAAGTAGTTACTCTATAATCCCTGACTAATATATTGTTCAGTAATGAAGATGATAAACCATCACGGGGTTCAGCAAAACTCCAGATCCCCAATATAACTGACTTGAACCTTGAATTAGCCTATGTCATTCCTTTCAGTTTCCTAAATGGAACAAAGGATTTCTCAGCAAAATGACAACAACTAAGCAATTAGCTTTTAGGCTGACGATGCTGCTGGGGACTATGCCAGGTATGTTAGCTGTATTATTTTATTTAAGCCTCGTGATATCACATGAGGTAGGTACCTGTACTACTCCCATTGTAAAGAGAGACTGAAGCCCTTGGAAGTTAAATATCTCGCACCAGATTATATAACTAGTTTGTGCTGGAGCTGCCATTTTGACCACACAGCTCAGATTCATACCTAGTATGTACCACCACTTGATAAAAGAAGAATAGACTGTATTGCAGGGGAGTTACTACTGCAAACAAGAGAAAAACCTGCAGTGAAGCATACTTCATATTACTAGGGACCATAAAGCAGACCCTGGACACCGCAGCTAAGAAATTTTGCACAAAACAAAGCTTCACATTGATATTTGGATTATACCTCTCTATGAATGCTGAGAAGTAACTCTTGCTTTTCAGTAACCACTCCACCCCCATCCCTTACCACGGAGTGCTGAACAACCACAGGAAACTGTGGAAGTGTCGTATATTACAAGTAATGATCGACTTACGACCTATGCAACTTACGACCATTCGACTTTACGACCACAATCGTTAGCCACGATTGCTCCACGTCTGGCAGCGCAAACGTTGCCCAGCTGGGCGTACGACAGTGTGGACCAGCTTCCGGCAGCACTACCATCTCCGTGTGCACCATTTCAACTGTTATCCCAGACTCAGTAGAGCAATTTGTGTTTTGTGTCTTGGATATTTTTCATCAAACCCCTCCCAAGATGTCTACCAACAGGAAATTATCTTTGTCTACGCCTCAGCCTGCCAAGAAGGAAAGAAAGGCCATCGATCTCGACATGAAAATCAAGGTAATTAAGCAGTACGAAGGAGGAAAGAAAGTGAATGTGATCGCACGTGATACGAAGTTATCACACTCGACTGTGTCGACGATTTTGAAAGATAAAGAAAGAATTCATGAAGCTGTGAAAGGTTCTGCACCCATGCGATCAACAGTTATAACAAAGCAACGAAGCGGGCCCATCCACGAAATGGAGAAATTGCTGTATATTTGGATGGAAGATCAAATTCAAAAACGGCCAATAAAATGTTTCGTACATGTTTATATATTTTGATATGTTTTGCAATTGGGAAAATGTTTTCTATGGTATTTATTACACCTGTATTTTGTATTTTGTATTTTTATATGCACCTGTATTTTATAATTTTGTATGTTTTGCAAATATTAAACCAGTTGTACTGGTAATGCAGTGTTTTACTTAAACCTGACGAATGTAAAAATAAGAAACAAAATGGTGTAGAGATGATACAAATGGCATAAAATGAACAAAGAAAATTATGATATATAACAATAATGAAAGAAAATTATGATAAAATATGACTTAAAGATTTTTATAACATCATTTCACAGTACTGTACATATAGCCTGCTCAACTTAGGACCAAATTGTGTTACGACCGGTCTGTCGGAACCAATCGTGGTTGTAAGTCTAGCACTAGCTGTACTTAACCTCAGACTCTCCTTTTTAGCCTAAGGACTAAGTTCTTTTTTGCAACAATCCTTGTAAAGCAAAATGAACGCTGGCTTGGGAGTAATAAATGACAAGTAGATTTTATTCTGGTTTACATCACTAACTTGATCTGTATTTGGGCATGCGACTGGCATCTCTGAACCTCAGTTTTCTACTGCGGTATAAGGATGGTTCCCCAGATGAGCGTCCTCTTCAAACACAAACACTCAGTTGTTATTTGTATTAATTGTTCATGTCTCTGTGTAAGATTTCCTTAGAGGGGTGGTTCATTTCATGTTCAGAAAAATGGAAGCCACTACTCCAGAATACACATGCCCTCGTGTGTTTCACTACATTTATTCCACTGCCAGTGCCACTCACTTCCTGCCAGACTCACACCCTGTTATTTTTTTTCATACTTGATTTTCTGTTCAAAGGGTATGTTCCTGAAGTCAGACACAGCAAACCTACCTATAAGTCCTAGGCAGGCTACATCCTGACTTTGTCATCTCAATTTCCCCAATCCTCAATTTCTGCAGCAGCACAATTGGTAGAAGAGAAGCCATAGCTACCACGTTTGTATTGCTTACTAATTATGGGCAATGGCTAAAGGGCGTTTTCTCATTTGATTGTCATGAACAGCCATATGAAGTATTATGACTGGATTTTTTCAAAGCAGCAACTGAAGCTTAGAGAAATGGTGTAGCCGCCTCACGGTTTCTTGCAGGCATCTGACTAACCCCAATACACAGGTTATCAACTGCCTTGCTTCACAGCCCCCCAGTATTTCTGCCTCTTGGCTCACAGAACTGCTGTGAAGGCGAATGGAGGTAACACCCGTAAAGGTTGGGAGTGCAGTATTTGTGTTAGTTTTCCTGATTATGTCACATGTCTGTAAAGTCCAGGCTTGCCTAGTGCCTCTATCTGTGCCCTCAGCTAACCAGTTCTCCCCACTGCCCACCTCCACTTTCACCAGCCTGAATATTTATTCTGCCTACTCAAAAGATGTTTTTTCTGTGTATCATTTCATGTTTATTCCATGTTTCTCTGGTTTCCAAAAGCAGATGCTTAAGAATTGCTACTTCTTTCATATTTCTCAAAGTTCCTGAGACTACTGAGGATGCAATGGGCATCAATCTCATTTACCAACCAGAAGGAAAATGCAGTGAGCAGTGGGACATAGATGATACTGGTGCCGGCCCATCCTCCATGTGCGAAAGTAAATCTGTTCTAGAGCCTGGTTGCTATGTCCCTGTACAATAATAAGCTCAATGACGATATTTTCTTTATTTTTAATTGTACTTTAGATTCTGGGGCACATGTGCAGATCATGCAGAATTGTTGCATAGGTACATACATGGCAATGTGGTTTGCTGCCTCCATTCCCCCATCACCTATATCTGTCATTTCTCTTCAAGTTACCCCTCCCCAACCTTCCCACCCCACACTGTACCTCCCTTAGCCCACCCCCATAGACCCCAGTGTGTGATGCTCCCCTCCCTGTGACCATGTGTTCTCATTGTTCAACACCTGCCTATGAGTGAGAACATGCTGTGTTTGATTTTCTGTTCTTGTGTCAGTTCACTGAGAACAATTTTCTCTCATCCTTTACCCTGGGTATTCCCAGACACCTCAGCCTACATCAAGAATTAAACTGTACCTTGAACTTCCAGTTCAATGTTGAATCACACCGTCAGCCACCTTCATGGCATATCTTTTCACAGTGGGTCGTAAGGGATTCTTTTTTGAAAGCGCTGTTCTAGAAAAGACGGGGGAAATTTTAACTAATGCTTTCTTTTTTTGTTTCCAAGTCTACTTCACTTTCCCTACTAATTTAAGTAGACAACAGATACTCCAAAAAATTGTCAAAAGTGAACTATTTTCTTAAATAAGGGGCAGGTAAAATAATGACAATAGAAATAACCATTGAATAGAAATAACTGAGCTGTTTTCATAAAGAAATGAAAGAAAAGAAACTATTTAAGTCTTAAAGGTAGACGGCGGCTATGATAAAGGAGGACCAGGGGCTATTCCCAGCTGGTGGATCAGCTGTGTAAAGCCCCAGAGGAGGGACAAAGCGACATTGTGCAGTGTAAGACACAGAGCAGGGGCTGCGAGTCACATATACCAGGCTCTAATTTTGACTTCTGGAATACTTTTCAACTTACCAAGGATGACTTCTTCTTTCATATGTGCATTTGTACTTAGAAATACTAAATTAGTATATTTGTACATCAGCGTAGTAATTATACAGCAATAGATCCCAATGCATACAAACATATACTGTAATTTTTTTTGTTTGCACCCCAGGGAATCTATAAGTCGCATGGTTCCTTTTTCATCTGTTCTGCTCCTTTGCTTCTCATTCCTTCACATCTAGGATGGCACAGCAGCAACTGAATTAATGCTTGCTAACGCCTGCATCAATAAATCTGAATTAGAAGCACCAATATAATAACAATTTCTCTTTGTTCTTTAAGTTCCCTTTACATGCATTTGAGGAACTTAATAGAGAAAAAGTAAATGATGAAACTAAATTCAAAGCTAAGAATGGAAAATAACTGAAAGAATCAAAAGTGGTCAAGATAGGAAAAACCCAGAACTGGTACAGAATGATAGTT